ACCTATTATACATTTTAGTCCTTATTTACACTTTCAGTTTCTCACACCAGAGAAACTATTCGGTATTTATTCATGTGTGTCCTATATTTTTAACTTAACAGTAAGTTGTAAGTAACTCTCCATGTCAGTACCTGTACAATTGTTATAATTTTAACATATAATTTCTTTATTCTGTATCCTTTTAGTGAGCATCAATTTCCTTCTAACCGTGGTATTATACAAACTTGCTGTGGTGAGTACATGTACTGAACAAGTTGTCCAGAACACAAACCATGTCATTCTACATGGTGACCTAGCACATTATTGTGTATAAATTTTTTCAGATGTTATTTTGGATAAATAGCAAAAAAGAGAATTACTGAGCCAAAGGACAAGTACTTTGCTTAACACAGCAAAACATTATAAACAATCTAGATTTTCAATAATTGGGAGTGATTAAAAAATTAAAACAATATGATAGTATATGTTCCAGCCATTTAAATTTATACCACAGAAGAATATTTGCTGAAAAAGGAGTATAATCACAAGGTCTCATGAATGAGAGGAAAAGGTCATGTCATAGTATGTGTAATCATGTTTTGTAGAAGGAAAACTATAGAAGTATCCTTAGAAAAATAGCCAGAAGATATGCACTAAAATGTTAGTAAAAAACCCTCCCAGACAGAAAATGAATAAATCATAGAATATTTACACAGTGGAGTATTATATAGAAGTGACATGAATGTAGATCTACACATAATGATATTAGTAGATTTTACTTCTAGAAGGTTAAATTAAAATACAAAGTTCCCAAGGACCACATATAATAGGATATCCTTTTATATTATTCCCAGGCACTAAAACTAATTACTTTATTATTTAGGGTATAACTATATGGACACAAATAACAATAAAAAGCAAATGAATGTCAATCCAAAAATTCAGGATAATGGCCATCATTGTTGAGAAAAGAGAGTCAGAATAGGGAAGATAATACAAGTGGATTTAGACTATTGTTAATATTCTAGTGCTTGAGTCATTTGGGTGAGTGGCTGGATGTCACTATTTAATTAAAATCTTATTGATTATTTAATAATTTAATGATTATTATTGAAATAAAATGAAAGAACATCAATGGATACAAATAGAGGATCATGCATGAATGAGTGAGATAGTTTAATTCTGTGCACTGGACTTTATTTGTAGGTGGTGAGAATACATGTGATTTTTATTCTCTTTTGACTCTGTTCTCCAAAGTTTCTATTTTGAGCATGTATTACCTTTGAAATTAAAAAAAACTAAAATTTTATTTTAAAGTGTTTTTAACATAGGAAAAAACCAAGATTATATTCAGAAACCAGCCCAGAATTACAAGGGTGAGAACTAACGTATGTTTAAAATGCCTAACAAGGGCTGAAGAGTATTGATATACTAATGATAATAACCTCTGTTTAATGACATTTCAATTTTTTTTTTCAATTTCCTTATATGTTCATATATTACATCTATAATTTTACTCTGTAAAGTTCAAATATAGTAAGCTTATATTTATTGTTACAAAAATAATACATGGTTATTATGAACAGCAAAAGGGCTGTAGTATAGAAAAGATTTCCCTCCTAATCTCAGTGCACAGAAGTAACCATGATTATTTATTTGCTTTGTATATTCCTAGTATTTTTTCTGTTCAGGTGTATGTTATGTGCTGTACAAAATGAAATCATCCTACATGTATTATTGTACAACTTTCTTTTTCCTATTCAATAGAAAGTCATGTTAAAAGCAGCCACAGGGTATTTCACAGTAGTATGTACTATGTCATTTATTCAGTGTTTTCCACATAACAATTGATCATTAGGTTCTTAACACTTTGTTACTATTATACATATTCCTATAAAAGTTCCTTTAAAATTTGACTTTTTCACTTTTAGAAGTATTTTTATTAGCTAGTACCTTAGAAATAGAATATCTACATCAAAGTGTTAGGTGTGCTGGACACTATGTTTTTTAAAAAAAATTTGACATTTTGAATGAAAAAATGCAATCTTATTCCTTTAAATCGCCCCCCCCAACAACTAAAATGTAACATCCGTTCATACAGTTAGTATTAGCTATTTCTATTTCTTTTCTTAGAAATAGTTTGTTCCTATCCTTTGTCTATACTTCTGCTGTGTTGTGTTTTTATTTGTTATTAATTTGTAAGATATCTCTGGATATAACTTGATATCCTTGTGTCCAGTATATATTACACATATTTATCATTTGGGTTTTATACTTATTTATGGGTTTACTTACCAAAAAGAATACTTAATTATGTAGACAAACATTTAAGCTATTAAAATAATTTCTTGCTTTTGCCTCATACCACTTAGGTAGGCTTCTGCATCACCAAGATTATAAAAATATACTATATTTCCTTATAATATTTTATATATTCTTATTACTTAGTGCATTAATCTCTGTGGAATTAGTTTCTCCTTGTATATCTGTGTATGGTGGAAAGTAGGAATCTAATTTCATTTTTTTGGAAGAGATAACCAGATTCCAAACTTATTCAACTTGATTCTATCTATAATGATTTATCATGAACTTATATAGATATGTTTCCTCTCCCATTCATAGTATTTGTCTATTACTATGCTATACCTCACTGCTTTAATTATTGTAGTATTATATTTTGAAATATGTTAAGATTGCTCTCCCTTCATCATTTGTCTTTTATTTTCCCCCCAGAATATTCTCAGGTATTTTTGTGCATTTTGTTTTTTCTAGATAAATTTTAGAATCAACTTTGTTTAAAAAAATCCCTTGGAAATGCCTCAGACTTTCCAAGTAGCAGATCAGAAATTAACCTAATTAAGATAATGAGTTTTGCATCTGAGAACATAGTGTATTTCTCTTAATTTTTCTCCTCCTTATTTAGATATTACACAATTTTAAGCTTTTTTGGTTATTTTATAATTATTATTGCTCCAGTGTAAACTGTACTACATTGTATTGTGTGTATATAGAGAGATTTATTTTTAATCAGACCATAATATTTCCACATATTTCTGGCATTTCATATGATAGTTTGATACAGTTTTACAATATGTAGTGATCACATAAGGGTAATTAGCATTTCCATTTACTCAGGTAATTATCATTTCTACCTATTGGGAACTTTTGAATTCTTTTAATTATTTTGAAACGTACAATAAATTGCATGTAACAAGTTGTTATAGACTATAGTTACCATACAGTGCTATAGAACATTGGAATGGATTCCTCTATCTAACTATTACTTAGTACCCGTTGGTCAACTTCTCCCTATGCCTTCCTTTCCCCCAACTCTCCCAGTCTCTGGTAACCACCATTCTTCTCTCAACTTAATAAGAGAACAACTTTCTTATATTCCACACACGAGTGGAACCATGTGGTAATTGTCTTTCTGGGCCTGAATTATTTCACTTAACATAATGACCTCCAGTTCTATCCACGTTGCTGCAAATGACAGGATTTCATTCATATTTTATGTCTGAGTATGTGGATCGGGTACCTATTACCACATTTCGCTTATCCATTCACCACTTGATAGATTGTAGGTCTTGGCTATTGTTGATGGTATTGCAACTTTATTTTTAAAATACATTATCAATCCTATACAGAAAAACTGTTGATTTTTAATATTTATCTTCTACTCAGGCCTTGTATTAAACTGTTTCTAACTCTAATTGCTTTTTTTCCAGTTGATTATTTTCAGTTCCTATGTGCCCAGTCGTATCAGTTGTAAATAACAAAGGACTTGTCTTTCTTTTGCTAATGTTTGTATCTAATATTTTACTTTTAGCAAATTGATAAAGATTTTATGTCTTTTAGGAAGGTGCATATTATATTGATCAATAAAGAGTGGGCAAGCAACCTTCGTTTTTAGTTTTTCTATTTTAATAGAAATGCCTCAATTGTTTCATTCTATTATAATTGCCACTGTTGCTGACGTATTCCCTTTTTCAAGTTAAGCAAATGCTCTTCTATTCCTGATCATCTTATAATTTTATGAGGAATGAATATGAAATATTATTAAAATGCTTTGTCTGGCATCTGCCAAGATGATATCAAGATGATAATATGGTTATTCTCTTTAATCTATTAAAGCAATTAATTGCCTAATTTGAGCTCTTCTTATATTGCTAGGATAAAACTTACTTGAGAGTGATGTTTCTATATGTGATTATTTAATTTAGGATATAAGATTCTGTTAATGAGTGCCTATAGAAGTGCTTTCTTACCTTTTGTACACTATGGCATTCTGGGGCCAATTTAACAGAGGCAGCTGACTTCCCCGGCATTGCTTGGCTGCCTGAAGGCCTTATGAGCTTGAGATCACAGTTTACATAAAACCTAGCCACAGGACACTGGTGTGCCAAGACATACTGGTTGGGAAACTCTCGTTTTGATTTTCCTTTTATGATGCCCTTTTCCCAACTGGATGTCAGAATTAGATTCCCCTTTGGAATGAACTGAATCTTTTTTTCCTGTTTCTACAGTGTAAGTAACTGAGATGTGAACTGCTCCTTGAACAGTTGGCAACATCAATAAAACCATTTTGTCCTGGTGCTTGTTTAAGGTCTAGAAATTTAAATAGTTGTTCAATTGCTTCTGTGATTATTAGTTTATCCCAGTTTTCTACAGTACCACTTCTGAAGTAAATTTGGTGAAAACTCATCCATTTCTTCTAGATTTTAAAATGTATTACTGGAAGATGCACTTTATATTTTCTAATGTGGCCACAAGCTGTTTTCATTGATAGGACTTTCTAGAGGTTTGTACATTTTATTTTCAGTTACCTATTTTTCTTTCTTTCTTTCTTTCTTTCTTTTTTTTTTTTTTTGGTACCGGGGATTGAACCCGGGTACTTGGGCTTGCGCAGCAGGCGGCGAAAGCACTGAGCTAAATCCCCAGCCCTCTCAGTTACCTATTTTTAATACCTTGTGGTTTTAAAATATTTTCTGCTGTTATTCTTTTCACAGTTTTATTTGATCTTTTCCCCAGTTCTTTCAGTGAATGTTTATTTTTCCATCTTTCCAGTTTTAAAATGAATGCAGTAAAAAAATGAATGCAGTATAGTTATAAATTTTCCTCCAAATTTGTATTTTATTATACCTCATAGTATTCACATGCAGTTTTCATTGGCCTTTTTTGTTACCTCATACAGAGTTAAAGTTTTACTTTTCTTTTCAATCCAAGAGCTACTTAGAAATATGTCTATTTCTGTATGGTTAGTTTTTAGTTGATGTTTTGATTTTCTGTCCTTTTCTTCTTAATTACTACATATACTGGCTCATGTATGGAGAATGTCTCCAGCATGAGTCATATATTTTGTAATATTTCCTTTGTGTCCTCCTATATGTAATAAATTTTAAAATAAATGTTCCCTGGGCAATTGAAATAAAGTATTTTCTTTTCCTTAGGTTTCAATTATGTCATATTTTGACATATTAAATAGTTCTTATTCAACTTTTTTATTTTTGTCTGCTTGATATACAATTTCTGATAAAAGTATGTAACTCCTATTTCATTATTTTATCAGTCTATTTCTAATCTTTTTTTTGCTTTATATATTTGAAACACTTTTTCAGTGCATTAAGTTTCATGAGTCTTATTAGATTACCTTTGTTCACTATATAAAGTTACCTTCTTTGACTAATATTAATGCTTTTTGTCTTCTTTTTTTTTTTTTTTTGGTACCGGGGATCAAACTGGGGACCTTGTGCTGCGAGGCAGGCAGCGGAACCACTGAGCTAAATCCCTGGTCCTATCTTGTCTTTTATTTGCTACATCTGCTTTGTTTTGTTACCATTAGCTGTTATGTCATTATCTATATTTTTAACTTTTCTCTGTTGCTTTTTGTTAGATGGATCTTTTCAAAATAGCATATGATGATGTTTTTACTCCATCTGGGAATGTCTGGCTTTTAATTCACACACTCTACTTATTTATCAAAATTTGGTGCTATTTATTAATTTTTATGGATTTTCATTACTCTTGTATCTTCTTGCCTGGTTTGTCAAAGTATATACACTCCTTTTGAATATACTCAATTAGAAGTTTGCAGTATCATTTTTAATAATGATTACATGAGGGCCGGGGATTTAGCTCAGTGGTTTTGGCGCCTGCCTCACAAGTGCAAGGTCCCGAGTTTGATCCCTGGTACCAAGAAAGAAAAGAATAATGATTACATGAATATATATGTATATGTACATAGATATTTTACTTAATATACTTTTCTACTATTGTAGTTTTAAGATACACATGTAATAATTTTATAATAAAAATAGAAAACAATATCTGCTTTTACACGTGTCTGGTATTGGTTCTTTACACACTCCTCTTATGTAGGATCTCATCTACAATTTAGGTCCTTCCACCAACCTCCCAATACCTCATGTCTCCTGTCTATCTTGTTTTTTGCTATCAGATTAATTTTCTTAAATATCACCTTCCTCATGTTACTCAAAACCTTACAATACCATTTTCCTAATTAGATCTAAACATCTACATGTCACATCCAACTCCCCTGTGACCTTACCTTCATCACCATCTCTCTGCTCTCTACTTGAGTGTGGATGGTCCACTCTAGTCAGCTTGGTCCTCGCTACCTTGTACATCAGCATCTGCTCCTTCCTTTACTTTCATTCATTTTGTTCTGTACACTCTTTCTGTTTTCTCAGAGCCCTCCCCAACTGCTAAATTGGGACATCTGTCTCAGAAGAGTTGTTGTCCTGTCCTAATTGTTTTCTATCAGGGAACACTTACATTTTTAAGGAGCAGGAATATTCTGTGCACAAAACTGTGGGAAAAAACTTCATTTTTGACCCTGAAACCTTCAAGATTTAATGTTTATTGAAAACAAGACATTTTGACCATATCTTGAAACCCTTTAACTTTAGGAATTCTATTAACCTCTCACATTAAAGCAAAGATTTCCTTACACTTCTTCCTTAATAACAGTGCGGGTTGCCATCATCTCAATTTAAGCTATTCCTCAAATTTTGTACTATCTGGATCCTCCCTACCAGAGGAAAGGAAGTTGGTTGGGTCATACTAGGATGTAGTTCTTGACACTGGGCTTCACTGGAAGTTTTTATCAGCTATTCCAGGACTCATGTCTCAAGAGAGCCTTTGGTTCCAGTTTGGTAAATACTGCCCTTCCTTTCCTGGAATCAAGCTAACATATTTCATAAAATTAAAAACCCCTTTTATTTTCTTACTGATATCATGAATTAATTTCTATAGCACTTTCACCCCAACTACATAAGGCTTTTACTTTCTACTTGTGCTTTTTCCCCTACTACCTCTTTCTGATGGCTCTGTCACCAAAGTTCCTAGCAGGAGGTATGGCTGCCAGTAACACTGTCCCTGTGTGGTAGAGTTCTGCTAGACCAATAAAGCTGAATTCTTGATAAACTCCTGCCTCTTTTCTAGATTTTAAAATAATTTTTACACTGCTTTTTCCATTTTAGGACTTTTACTTAATAGTTTTTTTAAAAAAATTCATAGTCACATTACCAAAACGTATTGAGACAATTTATTTTCCTAATTACCATTGTTGTCACTGTGTCTTCACCCTCCTCAGGTGTATTCCTCATGGTTAGAAGAAAATTCCCCTAAACGATGCTATTAATATCTTGAGTTTTTCATATTTCAACCAAGCTTCTCTTGGTACCTAACATCCTGAGGGATCTGTAGCTGCAAATGTCTATACAGGATGGAGTGCTGTAAACATGTAAACTCCCTGCTGCAACATCAGCTTTTTGTGATGAACAATATATGTGCTTTTATTTTCTTTGTTTATTTATTTATTTATTTTTTGAGATGGGATTTCACTACGTAGCCCAGGCTGGTCTTGAACTTGCAGTGATCCTCCTGGCTCAGCCTCCCAAGCACTTGAATTACAGGCATGCACCAACACATCCAGCTGTGCTTTTTTTTTTAAACTTCGTATTTATTAATGAATTTATTCTTTCTTTCTTTCTTTTTTTTCTTTTTTGGCACTGGGGATCGAACTCAGGACCTTGAGCTTGTGAGGCAGGCGGTGGAACCACTGAGCTAAATCCCTGGCCCCCGGGCTGTGCTTTTATTTTGAACCAAGCTCACCATCCAAAAGATCCTGTCCTCAGCAGCAACATGAAAATGCGGTAATTCCCAAGTGCACATGTAGTATCTGACCCCATGTTCCCAGTAGCTGAGGAATATATGGGACTGATTTCACATCCAGACTCAAGTGGACCTAATAGAGTTTGAGGATCATCACTGGACATACATTTTCCTTAGTCCAGCCCCTGATCTTTGGTGGGTGTTGATATGTAGCTACAATAATTTGTACTTGTGCCCCAAATACATATACAACTTATTTCTTCCTTCATTGTTTTCCTCTTACACATCATTGTGGATTTGTGGACTTTCATAGACTCCTGGTTCCACAGGACCATAATGACATTTTTTAAAAGTTCACTTTCATAGGCCAGTGGGAACAATTTTAAGGGGGCTCTTGCATCACAAAGTTCAGAAACTTTTGACAGAAAGCCAGTTTTCAAGTGTGCTACTCTCTAAGGACCATTTCTTTTTAGTGAAAAATTAAAGAGCAAACTCAGGATGCTCAGGGTAGAAAAATATTTCATATGTGTGTTTGGAGTTAAGTAGGGTAACATGGCAGCTACTATTCACTTTCATGATGAATCAAAAGGGTATTTTTTTCAAATGCAAACCACAAGTTCACACGATTATTTTAAAAATCACTGGTCCAAACTTTTTTTTTTTTTTTTTTGGTACTGGAGATCAAACTCAGGACCTTGTGCTTTTGAGGCAGGCGTGGTCCCACTGAGCTAAATCCCTGGCCCAAGTCACTGTTTCTTTTAACCTGGTTTATAAGAGTTTATTAATGCAAGGTTTTTTGTTATTTTGCTACTGGGCTTTTTCCTTTTTTAATTCACTTTATAATACCATCCTGTGTGTTATGAAACCACACCCTATGCTTCCCTCCTCACTTCCAATTTAGTAGCCTCAGTTTTTTCACTTTTTATCTCTATTAGTCTAATGTTTCTTGAAAGTGGACACATTGTGGAACCTCAGTCTCCATTACTGTTAACCATCACTCAAAACCCTGTTTCGTTCAAAGAAACATCTCCATCCTCCTTCAGAAAATACAAAAACAGGATATAAATAGGTCAAAAAGTACATATAATTGTCTGAAAGTTCCCTTTTATTGGATTATTTTAAAGAGAACTACTCTTTTAATTGCATGAAGGTAGCAATCTTTTTGTTTTTTGAGTCAGTCTCACTGTATTTCGCAGGCTGGCCTCAAACTCCTGGGCCCAAGCTTTCCTCATATTCAGACCCCCTTGTAGCTGGGACCACAGGCATGTGACATAGCTCTCTGCTTATGCATGCATTACTGTTGGTCTCCAGTTTCTTAAAGGCCTTCAGATAAATACAGATACTTTTCCTGAGTACTGTACCAGTTCATCCTTGCAAATGACAATTAAAACATCAGAAAATGTAGCTAAAATAATGTAAAAAATTTTCATTGGAAAAAATTTTCCCATGAATTTATTCAGAAATTTCAAGTGAAATTCTTTTTGTACCATTGCATAATTCATAATATTGTTTGTTTATCATAAGCACAAACTCATAAAACACCAGAAAATTAAGATGGCAAACTTCAGTAGGAATTTTATGTTTCAGTCATATTTACTTGGTGTCTCAATTCATTCAGTCTGCTATAATACAATAATATAATCTGGGTGGATTATAAACAATGGAAATTTGTTTCTCATAGATCAGAAGGGTAGGGAGTCCAAGATCAAAAAGCAGTTCTGGTATTCTGGTAGACCATGTGTTTTAGTTCATAGAAGACACTTTCTCCCTCCATCCTTACATAGCAGAGAGGGCAAGTCAGCTCTGTATATATAAAGGCACTAATCCCATTTTTACATCCCCAGAGCCTCACCTCCTAATACAATAATGTTAGTGATTAGGTTTCTACCTATGGATTTGGAAAAGACATAAACTTTCAGATTATAGCTCTTGACTTCCTTTTTCTCCCTTTCCCACCAATCCAGGTAGTAGTGTTCTTCACTGGTTTCTTATGAAAACAAAAACAAAACAAATATTTAAAATTTTAGTACAAAGATCCACTCCTTTCATGGATTAAAATGTACTATCTCTACAAGCCTAATTCTGAGTTTAATGGTACCTTAATGGCCATCCCCCAAAAGGAACACAAACACACTTTCTGCCAGTTTACTTGCTTGTAGGACTTGCATTTCCTACCTATTATAGTGTAACAAGTCACTCCAAATTTCAGTGGCTTAAATCAATAGCCCTTCATTTTTGTTCATGAACCTATGAGTCAGCTGGGCATCCCTTCTTCGTTTTGGCTAGATTCACTTTATGTCTGTTGTCATCTGTGGATACGGTAAGAAACTGTGATCTTTTCTGGGCTCTCTCATGCATTTTGGTCCTTCTGCATGAAGCTAGCCTGGGCTTGTTCTCATGGCATGGCAGAGTTCTAAAAGGGAGAAGAATGTACAAGGCCTCTTAAGATGGAAGGCCTGTAGATGGAATTGACACTCAAGCACTTCTACCATATTCTGTTGGTCAAAGAAAGTCATAACATCATCCCAGAGTAAATGTATGAGGAAATAAACTCCGTGTGTGTGTGTGTGTGTGTGTGTGTGTGTGTGTGTGTGTGTGTTTCTGGAGTTTAAACTCTGGGCCTCCATACTGCACTAAATCTCCAGCCCTTTTAAAAAAAATTTTTGGTACCAGGGATCGAACTCGGATCCTTGTGCTTGTGAGGCAGGCGACGGAACTACTGAGCTAAATCCCTAGCCCCTTTTAAAAAAAAATTTGAGACATCTCACCAAGTTACTAAGTTACTTAGACAGGGAACTTGTGATCCTCTTTCCCAGAGTGCTGGGATTACAGGTGTGTGCCAAGATGCCCGGCAAACTCCACCTTTTAATGAGAAGAACTGCAAAGTCACATTGCAGTGAGTGTCAATATGAGGAATCCATTTATGATGTCCATCAATGCAGCCAAATCTACCACAGTTAACCCTCTGTCTCCAATGAACTCATGCACCCCACATACAAAATACACACTCTCCTTCCAAGAAGTTAATCTGACTTTCCTTTCACATACCAAATATACAATGATAAAACAAGGACAACACAACAGTCAACCCTCACATTCAAAAAGAAGAAAACAGGTAGTCTGGTAGTCTGTAATAATTCTTTTTTTTTTTTTTTTGGTACCAGGGATCGAACTCAGGTCCTTGTGCTTGTGAGGCAGGCGATGGCACCACTGGGCTAAATCCCCAGACCTAGTCTGTAATAATTCAAAAGTCTCAGAATAAGGATTTTGGGGGACAAATGTGTTTCCTCATTTTAATCTGGTTCTAATTGCTGTAAGTAAGTAGCATTGTTTATTGTTCTTCATGGATCTTGGCTCAGTCCTCTGAGAATATCCCAGATATTCTTTATTTTTCATTCTTCTGACATTAAGGTGTTGGAAGGAAAGCCCTTTGTGGACTCTCTCAGCCTGCTTCCTGTTCATAGAAAGTTGGACGCCAAGAAGTATCTTTGTACTTTGAATTCCTTAGTTCCTTCTATTCTAGGTTGGACACATTCCTCAATATTTTTGTGAGATTTCTATGAATCTGTATCTACGTTGAACAAAGATACACCCACAAATCTTTTGAGATAAGCTTTCTCTCCAGGTGTAGTTTACTTTTACATTTCCTTTGGGCATGTTAGCCTGGTGTGGACCAATACCTTTAAAATTCTTGGAAGCCCTAATGTCTATCTGCTACTAGGTACCATAATAATTTCAGAGGTATTAAGGTGTCTTACAGTTACAACTTTGATTATCTTTATAAACATATTATGTTTGTTTGGCAATGTCCTCATTTGATACTTAGCTGGACTACAGCAAAGAAAGTTTATTTTTTAACCTAGTAAATTCTGGCTCTTTTTTGTTACCTTTAAATTCTGCTTACAAACTACACAGACCTTTCTTTGACTTATCTCGTTCTTGCTGTACCCTCTTATATAGAACTAGGAGTACCTGAGAGACATTTTCAATGTTCAGTATGTAGATCTCCTCAGCCAAATTCACAAGTTCATTGGAAACATTTTCCACCATCTAAAGTACCCCAAGCAATGGTTTTTCCAGCTATTTCACTACTACATAAAACTTGTCACATCTATAATAACGGTTTTCTCACAAGGTTTGAGACTTTGTTATTAGCTTTTTAGCCTCTGCCTACCACCCAGTCCCAAAGACAATGCCATATAACTTATTTTACTTATTTACTGTAAATGCCAAATTTTTTATTTTATAACTTCCACCTAGGAGAGACAACTTATGGTATATGTCTTTCTGTGTCTGGCTTACTTCATTTAACAAAATGTTCTCCAGTTCTATCCATTTTGCTGCAAATGAAAGGATTTCATTCTTCTCTATGGCCTAAAAGAAACTCATGTTAGTAATAAAGGCACACACAATGAAAATGGAAAGAATGGAGGAAGAGAACAGAAGTAGCTATTCCTGTATTATCCAAAATAGACTTAAAGACAAAAACTATAAAAAGAGAAAAAGTTATTATCTAATAAATCAAGGGATCAATTCAAAAGAAGATAAAGCAAATGTTAATGTATATGCACCTAATATTCAAGCACCCAATTTTATAAATCAAAAATTATTAGATATAACAGTATAAGACTGAATGCAACAATACTGAGGAACTTAAAAAACATTTTTTTGGATAGATCAGACAAAATTCAACAAAGAAAAAATCAGAGTTAATTTACATTATAGAAAAATGGAATGGCACACATTTTAGATTTTCATTTTGGCAGCAGCCCCACAAATTACCAAATCCTGTAGCAGTTAGCCATTGCTGTACCATAAATTGCCTTAAACTTGGTGGCATAAAATAACTATTTCTTACTGCACCTGGGTATGCAGGTTGGCTGGACAATTTTTGTGGTCTCAGCTGGATGAGCTTTTGCATCTGATGTCAGCTATGCATCATACTACCCTGGGTTCTCCAAGAGTGAGGTTGAATCATCTGGCTCTGGGCCATCTGAGGAATGCTTTATCTGGGATGACTGGCCGTGTCCCACACATTCCTTGGTAGGCTAGCATAGCATTATTCTCAGGACCTCAC